TGTGTGTATTTAAATAAACCTTATTCTTTTTATTGTTTAAAAATCCATCCCTGGTCTGTGTGACTTCTTACAGGGAATGGTTGGTGGCAGCTTAGTGTAACTGTGTGACATATCCCAGTAGGTCTGGGTTTGTCACAGGCAGTTCTCAAGTCAAAAAGTCTGTAAGTCAAGTCTCCACTGACCTACAGTGCATTGAAAACCGATTAATCCCGTAACAGGCTGTTTTTGTTCCATTTTGGTTTTTTTCTGGTCTGTAAGTCAAATCTCAGCCTGCAAGTCAAACCTAAATTTTGCAGCCAAAGAAGTCTGTAACTCAAAAAGTCTGTAAGTCAAGCTGTCTGTAAGTCAAGGGTCCACTGTATTTCACAGGGCATCCTGTGGCTGTCTAGACATGGCTGAACTGCAACTGCGATCAGTTCTAGCTAGCAGACCCAAAGGGGTGGGAGGGCTAGGGAACTTACCCTCTATGTAACATTATTGGTCCCCATTCTAAACAATGCAGTGACATTTCTGAACAGAGATATCAGACACCAAAAAGAAAAGAAATTCTTCATATGCAATGCAAAAAACTCCAACAATTCAGCTTGAAAATTCTCCACTAGTAATAAAAGATTGGACGGATTTTACTAATTTTGATCTTGCAATAATAACTCTATATCAGACCTGGGCAAAGTGCAGCCCGAGGGCCACATACAATTTTGAACATCAAAACCATTTATAGCTTTTTGTCTAAAGTTGATCATTTGCTTATCTTTAACATACTAGAAAAAACTCTTTAGTATTTGTGAAGATTAACAAGTTTAAAATAAAAACAATTGTAACATCTCTGTTTCGTTTTATTTTTAAGTAAAGTTGGTTCGGCCCCCTGCTCCAATTTCAAGCTGGGGAAAAATAGACAAATCTCTAAGAACAGCTAGATTTGTTTACAGAGAACTGGAGATTTGTGTGACTCTAAACAGGTCTTGCACTCACAGTCTCTCATAAGATAATTACAATTTCTTTACTAAAAGGAGGCCTTTGACAAGGCTTAGGGTTGCCAGATGTCAGGGTTTCAACCCTCCTTTGGATCACCTGTAATGGGACAGACTGGGAGTGCCCAAGAGAATTAGCTGCCTGAGGCAGAGTAACAGATACCTCCTTCTAGGCTACATGTGTCAAACTCAAGGCCCATGGGCCGAATCCAGCCCGTTTCATGTGGCCCTCGCAGTGTTGCCTGCTACCGTGCAGTATACAATACACAGGCATTTACTTGGTTATCCATAATGCTCTGCAAGGATGCTGGGAATCCGCCCAGCGGGACTTCTAATCCCAGCATTCGAAGCAGCGAAGAGTCAGAAAGTGAAGGTCCTTGGGCGGTGTGCAGCACTTTGGGAAATGTAGTCCTGGCTATTGCTCACTCCTGTTCTTACACTTATACAGTGGTGCCTCGCTTGACGATGATTATCCGTTCCGTTGAAATTTCTGTTAAGCGAAATCGTCGTCAAGCGAGTTTTAAAAACCCATTGAAATGCATTGAAAACAGTTCAATGCATTTCAATGGGTGAAATACCTGCTCATTTTGCGATGATCCTCCATAGGGCGGCCATTTTCCGGTGCCTGTAAAGCGAGGAATCCATGCTAAAAACAGCGGGGAGCCGTTTTGCACAGCAGGCAGCCATTTTTAGAGCCACTGATCAGCTGTTTTAGAATTGTCGTCTAGCAAAAATTGGGTTCCTGAAGCAGGGAACCAATCATCGTCAAGCGAATTTTCCCCATTGGAACATCGTTTTGCAATCGTAATAGCGATTGCAAAAACTTCATTGTAAAGCGGTTTCGTCATTTAACAAGGTAATCATTAAGCGAGGCACCACTGTATAGTCTTACAGATACAACCGGCCCTTTGAGGGCAACCATAATGCCAATGCAGCCCAAAATGAAATTGAGTTCAACCCCTCTGCTCTTTCCTAATCGCCTAATCACAGTCTATAAGCCCTCAAGAATTGGCCATATTTATTTCAACGCCTGAGGCGGAAATCTCACAACTATTTCTCCCCCTCCATACCAGTAAAAATAAAATAATAACAGATTACATCATTAACCATTTGCTGTCCTCTAATGACAAAGCAAAGCAGCTAAGGGTGGGGGAAGTGGAGAAGTCACTCGAAACAAAACGAAGGCAACTTGACTATCTTCCCAGTAGTTTCCAACCTTGGGTCCCCAGATGTTCTTGGACTACAATGCCTAGAGGCCTTCAGCACTAGCTGTGTTGGGCAGGATTTCTGGGAGTTGTAGTTCAAGAATATCTGGGGATCCAGGAATGAATGGAAGCTTCCGGGCAACACAAAGGGCTGGATTACAAGGCCTTCAGGAAGTTTTGGATGGGAGCGTACAACTCCCATGCCCCTGTTGACACCATGAGCCAGCACAGAACTATGCTGGAAGTTAACTTTTAAAAAAAAAGGGGGGACCCATGCCCCTGTTGACACCATGAGCCAGCCCAGGATTTTAAAGACAGAACTATGCTGGAAGTTAACTTTAAAAAAAAAAGGGGGGGGGAGAGAGAAAAGAAAACAAAGCCAGATTTTGGTTCAACATTTTTTGTATTTCAAAGGCCCACCTCTGTTTACATGGTCTGGTCACTATAGCCAAGGATGCTTATGTAATTGTACTAATTGATGGCCAGGTTGCTTCCATAACTGTATTCATTTCAATCCGTTGGTGAGGTATTAATGTTGACATATAAGGCACTTCACGGTTACCTGTCCAAGTGCCTCAACCTGAGATTGTCCATCCAAACCACCCGCTCCTCTGGTGGGTAGGCACCCTGAGAGGAGGAGTGGAAATCTGTGACTTTTCTGTAGGGACCCCCACCCATTGTGGAATGGAAGTGCACCAGGCTTTTCAGAGAGACTTTTTTTATATATATCCTCCCCCATGGACAGTCTTTTATTCCGTGTATTTTAATTTTCCTAATTAGCTGCTGTCCCCACCAGGGTTATTTGTGGTGGTGGTGGTGGGGTGGTGGATTGATTTGGGGATTGTCTTGTTCCACGGGTAAGGGGTTTGGGTGTTTTTATGTTTTGTATACAGAGTAGTAGCCTGCCACTAGATGGGTGACAGGTAAATGCAATAAACGCAACAAACCAGCCAACCAACAATAAATGAAAATTCATCTTCTGAATCTGTCTTCAGACCCACTGTGTCTACTTGTATATAAAACTATGGCTAACAATTTTATTTCATCTGTTTGAGGAAACGGACTGTGACCCAGGTGAACCAGCACAGGTGCCTGAACCCGGAAGGGAGCCGTCCCCTCACTCGTCCAAGGTGGAAGGATTCGGCACCATCTTTACCCTGTTAACCTCAATGGTTCAAACTATGATGTTAGAAGGCGGGAATTTTGAAAGAGGAAAAGGTGGGAAAGCGATAGCTGGAGGAGATCAACCAGCTGTGGAAGGATTTTTTTTATGACAGAGGGGGGAAAGGGGGATACAGGCCAGAGAGGATAAGGAGGGAGAAAAGAAGTTGGGGGATCAGAAGAGCAGGAAAGCCCGGAGGTGGAAGACAGAGAAGAAGAGAAGGGGATTTCACAAAGTGCTGAAGGGCCCTATGTAGTCTCTTTCGCTCTTAAAGGGGATGATCGCGAGAGGAAGGTCCCGAACGGCCAGTAAAGAGGGGGGAAAGCGATAGCTGGAGGAGATCAACCAGCTGTGGAAGGATTTTTTTTATGACAGAGGGGGGAAAGGGGGATACAGGCCAGAGAGGATAAGGAGGGAGAAAAGAAGTTGAGGGATCAGAAGAGTGGGAAAGCCCAGAGGTGGAAGACAGAGAAGAAGAGAAGGTGATTTCCCAAAATGCTGAAGGGCCCAATGTAGTCTCTTTCGCTCTTAAAGGGGATGATCGCGAGAGGAAGGTCCCGAACGGCCAGTAAAGAGGGGGAATGGAAATACAACTAGGAGAGGTAGAACCGTTATGAGGATGGACCGTCTATGTTTACCAGAGAGGGAAAGGTCCCTGGAAGAAGGATCGGTGCATCCAGACCCAATACCAACTGGCACAACACGACCCAAAGGCGATTGGGCTCAACACCCAAGTTATGGGACTATCCACGTGGTGAGAAGCCATCCTATACAGGAACCTACCGATCACAAGGAGATTGGAATGGCCCCTCGTTAAAAGACCCTTTTGAAATGCCTGGATTACATGGGGTGTGGCCTGAAACATTGCTGGTTGTTGGAATGGCCCCTCGTTAAAAGACCCTTTTGAAATGCCTGGATTACATGGGGTGTGGCCTGAAACATTGCTGGCTGCTGATCCCATTGGACCCACTGAAGTTGTTGTTCATACCACTCCGTTAAAAGATATGAAATCGTTATATTATGTTGCCCCGTCTCCTGTGATGACTTTCATAAAGAATGAGGAACCGCCTGTCTTAAAATTAGAACCCAATCACACCCAGGAAAGCTCTTAACAAAATATATCTGTCAGCCTTTTAAAAATCATTGTTTTTTAAAAGCATTTTAGAAATGCTTTTTAAAAGCACTGAGTAGGCGAAACATTGCTGGCTGCTGATCCCATTGGACCCACTGAAGTTGTTGTTCATACCACTCCGTTAAAAGATATGAAATCGTTATATTATGTTGCCCCGTCTCCTGTGATAACTTTCATAAAGAAGGAGGAACCGCCTGTCTTAAAATTAGAACCCAATCACACCCGGGAAAGCTCTTAACAAAATATATCTGTCAGCCTTTTAAAAATCATTTTTTAAAAAAAAGCATTTTAGAAATGCTTTTTAAAAATCTCTTTTAAAAAGCATTGAGTAGCCAGCTCACAGGAGGGCCTGGTGTGCTCTGGTCCATGGGGTCACGAACAGTCAGGCACGACTAAACGACTAAACAACAACAAGCCAGCTCATGGGAGGTGGGAGCAATGCGTAGCCTGCATAATTACATTGCAAACCATTCAGAGAGTACTTTTAAGTGCTATGGGGTTGGCACATAAGCAGCACACACTGCTTTTTTTTTTGCATTGTTTTAAAATTTTTAAATGTTGTTTTTGTTATGGCCAAGATTTTAGAAATGAGATCTTCCCACTTACCTATGGCACAGTCATCTCCAGAATAACCGTCGTGGCACAGGCACACCCCGTTCTGACATTCCCCATGACCGCTGCAGTCCTCCGGGCATGCCAGTTGCCCGCAATCCAGCCCGGTGTACCCTTTGTGGCATTCACACACTCCTCCCTTCAGGCAGCGACCTCTCTGGTTGCAATGGTTGGGACAGGCCTTCGTGCCACAGGCCGGCCCTGTAAATCCCGGCTCGCACACGCAACGCCCATCACGGCATTCTCCCCGCCGGTTGCAGTTACTCGGACATGCCCGGCTCCCACAGTCAGCTCCGGAGTAACCTGGGTCGCACACGCACCGTCCCGACATGCATTTCCCCCGGCCCTGGCAGTCCTCGGGGCAGGCTGGATCGGAGCAGGAAGGGCCGACGTATCCCCGGAAGCACTGGCAACGTCCGTCCACACAACGGCCTTGGTCATTACAGTCGTCGGGGCAGGAAGGTGGCTCTTCGCAGCGGACGCCCGAGTAACCGGGGTGGCACTGGCACCGGCCGTTCACACACCTGCCCCGCTGTGGGCCGCCGCAGCCCCCGGGACAGGCTGGCTCCGCGCAGGTTGGGCCGCCCCAACCCGCCTCACAATCACACTGACAACGAGAGAGGTTGAAGGAACCATGATGTGAACACAAGGTGCGTATGTCTGTTTGGCCTGAGAGGCAAAATAAGAGAAATACAAAGGGGAGGGGGAAGAAGGAAGGGGTTAGTGATGGTAGTGTCTCCCATCGTTTGTTTGTTTGTTATTTACTCCATTGGTAGTGTCTCCCATCGTTTGTTTGTTTGTTATTTACTCTATTAAGTGGTGCCTCGCTAGACAGTTACCCCGCATGACAGTTTTTTCACTAGACATTGGCTTTTTGCGATCGCTATAGCAAAACAGTGATTCCTATGAGGGAATTTCGCTGGACAATGTTTGGTCCCTGCTTCGCAAGCTGATTTTCACTAGACAATGATTTTGACAGCTCCCATCGTTTGTTTGTTTGTTATTTACTCTATTAAGTGGTGCCTCGCTAGACAGTTACCCCGCATGACAGTTTTTTCACTAGACATTGGCTTTTTGCGATCGCTATAGCAAAACAGTGATTCCTATGAGGGAATTTCGCTGGACAATGTTTGGTCCCTGCTTCGCAAGCTGATTTTCACTAGACAATGATTTTGACAGCTCCCTTCACGCTCGCAAACAGGTGTTTTTGGGACCTACGCTTCACAAGTCAGTGATTTAAACATTGGAACGCATTAAACAGGTTTCAATGCATTCCAATGGGGAAATGTTTTTCGCTAGACAATGATTTTGCTAAACAGTGATTTTGGTGGAACAGATTATCATCGTCTAGCAAGTCACCACTGTATTTTGATTTAATCCACTTGGACCACTTCTGTGGCCACTCTGTAAGGCTTTGCTCTCCCTATAACCCCTTCGTTCCAACCTTCCCTGGTCCAGCTGCTGGTATGCCTCTTGCTGAGGCAGGATGTACCTGGGTGGGAGCTTGCTAAACAGGCTGACCCCAAGATCTGCAGGAATTGGTATCACTTTAAGAAAAGGGAACTGAGCCTTCTGACAATTGTAAAAATCAAGGGACAGCTTAAAGCTGTTCAGTAAGATTGTCGGAGAAATCCTAATCACAAGCCACACTCCATTCTGTTTTCCACATCCAGGCCAGAGCTAACTGTTTTGTTTCGTGCCTGCAACATGTGGTTCATCCTCCCCTCTCCTCGATTGGAGGAGGACCCCTTTCTAATGTGGTGGTTGGGGTTAGGGTCATGATGTGATGCGAAAAAGGGGATTCGTAACACATGTTCAGGCAGTCTTTCCCCCCTCCCTCCTTCTTAACTCCTCTTTCCCTTTCTGTAACCTTCCTTAATCCTCGCCACCTGCTTTTCTGTATGTTTGTTAAACTCTGGATACATTTCAGTAGACCAATCCGTGCGTTGCTACCGCTTTCCCACTGAGCCAACGAACTGTTCGTGGCGCCGCAAAACCACAACACACTCCTTTCTTCTAAGTGGTGCCTAATTCTCTCCCTCAACCCTTCCACCGTTTGGCTTGTACGGTGCGTCAGGCGCAATTGTAAAATATATTTTTTAATCTGTAAATTAAAAAATACATATTTTTGCAGCTTTAAAACGCCTACAGTTTTTTTTCTGAGGATTATAGCCAGTAATTTCCCCGAGCTCTAATCAGAGAGAAGCAACAGCATATCATCTGCACGATGTTCATTCATTCTGCCCCTGAGACGTTACCTGTACTAGCCTGGGTAGAGGAGGCAGCAGGGCAACAACCGCCTCCCCCGGCTTGGCAAGTGTTTCTTAGCGTCCGCACTTCATTTTCTAGAGCCTGCAGTCGCCTCAGAAGCTCCCGGGTGTCCTCGGTCCCTGGAGGGCACCCGCAGGTCTGGGGCGGAAGATTGATGCGATGGGTGAAAACCACGTGCTCCTGATCCGGCCCTTCTAGGGTGTGCTCAAAGAGACCTCCTCCCCGGGAGGACCCAGGGGGGCCCAAGGCCTCTTGCGGAGAAGAGGAGGCCACCTCGCCTTCGGTGACGTCTCCGGCCAGCTTTATGGTATAGACATGAGAGAAAACGGTTGCGTTGGATGGGATGGTGGAAGGATGATGGATGGTGACGGGCTGGGGCACATGCGCCTCCCAAGAAGCTCCCAGCCAGAAGAGGAAGAGGAGGAAGGAAACTGGGCTCAGCGGCCACCCCATAATATACACCTGTGGGAGAGGGGAAGGAATAAAAAGGAGAAATGAACCAGTCGTGCGAAGGGTAATCAGAGACATATGGTACAACGTCGGCCCTACTGTTGGGGAGAGTGAGGCAACTCAGGACCACATTACCCAGGAAAGAAATGTTTATTTCCTGCTAACTATGTTTTCCCTCAAGATACGCAATTCCTTCGCAGCTCATTGTGATTTACAAATGAAGCCCATGTTTACCACTCAGTGGCCAGTCACAACACCAAAGCAAGCTAATTTGCAAGGTGAAAAGAATAAGACAGGATAGAATCACATATCCGATAAAATGGAAATGGCCTTGCCAACGGGGTCTAACCCAGAGGTCTCCAAACTTTTTAACCCCGCGGACCGGTTGGGGAAGCCGGGGCACCCCTCGCACTCATGTGCATGCGCAAAGGGGCTGTGCGGAGGGGGGAGTGAGGGCGGGGTGGATTGGGGGAGGTCTGTCTCTCAACCCAGTCTGACAGGCCATGGACTGGCCACGGGCTGGGGACCTCTGGTCAAGCCCAGTGGTTCTCAATGGGGGAGTGAGGGCGGGGCGGGTTGGGGGAGGTCTATCTCTGCGACCCAGTCTGGCTCAGGCCACGGACCTGCCACGGGCCGGGACCTCTGGTCTAGCCCAGTGGTCCCCAATCCCGGGTAACCCCGGTGTTCTCGGACTGCAATTCTCATGAACTCCAACCAGCACAGCTGGTGGCAAAAAATTCTGGGCACTGCAGTCCAAAACCCCGGTGTTCTTGGACTGCAATTCTCAGGAACTCCAGCCGGCACAGCTGATGGCAAAAAGTTCTGGGCATTGCAGTCCAAAACCACCCGGGTTATCTAAGTTTGGAAACCATTGATTTACTCCAAACCCTTCCAAATGCAGGAAATAAGTATTTTGCTTCTTAAAGGAGCCATGCTCTAATGACAGGCTAACTGCACCATTTAGTTTGGGCCTCAGGTAGCAAGTTTTGTGTATCACAACAGCAAAGGAAAAGACCTCAGTTTGTTGGTTATTTATCTTGCAATATCTATATTTTCATTGCCAGGGATAGGGAGAAATTTGGGAGAGATTTTCTGCCTTACCAGGGCACCAAAATTTAGAAGGCACCAAAAATTTTCCATCTTTTTCATCGAGGCCTTATTCGTGAAAGACAATCCCCTGAATTCGGCTCACACCCCTCCTGTGTTCCTTCCTCTTACAAGGAAGAGAAACAGTCTTGTAACAAAATCTTGCTGCTTAAAATCACAACAGGTCCAATGAAGGTGGCATAAATTATTCCCTGCTTGATCCGGTAAATAGGCTGCCTGCCTTGATTTCAGTGCTGGAAGCTGAAAAAAAAGGGCAACATCTGAGATCTTATGGGGAAAGATGATTTTCCCTCTCTCAAGACATTTTGCTGCCTGAGGTGTACAGTAAAACTGTGGCCACACTGGCAATAACAACTACATTTAAGCATCATTTAAATCGATATAGATTTTATCATTCACACAATGCAAGAATGAAATAAATGTATATGTCCTGCAAAGCAAGTTTTTTTTAAAAAAAAAAACTGGCCACCAGGGATTATGTATATGTCCTGCAAAGCAAGTTTTTTTAAAAAAAACTGGCCACCAGGGATTTTTTAAAATGCTTCGCTTCTAAAATCAATCCAATTCAATGTGGTTTTTCTGGAAATTTTAAAATACTTCGCTTCTAAAATCAATCCAATTTAATGTGGTTTTTCTGGAAAGGAGTCGATTTCAGCAGTGTAGATGACAAAACCAGTGTAAATCGCTAGAAATAAACTGATTTCCATTCAGTGCATTTGAAAGTGGCCACTCGTTGAAACATCACGTGACCTGAATTTTTTTAATTTTTTTTTTTACTGATTTCCATTCAGTGCATTTGAAAGTGGTCACTCGTTGAAACACCACGTGACCTGAATTTGATTTTTTTTAAAAAAAAAAAATCTGAGCAGAAATCAATTCAAATTGCCAGTGTGACCACAACTTGAGATCTCTCCCTCACCCATTCCAAGCACAAAAGTTGTCTGGACGGGTTGCTGAATCTTCCTTCAGCACTGATCATAGGACAGCACCCTCGGGCAGAGAAAAAACAGGGCAAACGTCTATCATCTATAGCTCTTTGCTACTCTGCTCATTTCCTAACATCCGTTGCCTTCAAGCCTTGGGTATCCGCTGCGAGAGACAGTCCCTGAGAAACATGGACAAATCTCATGCACAGCCAAGTTCAGACAAAGCTAAATTCACGTCATTAATAACAGTTAAAATCTTTCTCAGCCAATTCTACACACACACACACATACACGAGAAACTTAATAAATCCATTCTGGTTGGGGAAAACCAAATGAAAGGGTTGGTTTTCGAACCCACTCTCCACAAAGATCGCTGCTGGGTTTTATTGTCAAGCCACTAAGGGAATGGTTAAGCGCAATGTGGATATAGCGTATCCCATTGATGTGGACAGCAGGAATGCAAACAGAGGGCCTCAGAGGGAATCTAAGAGTCTCTGCCAAAGCCAGGCGGTCAGGAAGCCGTAACAGTCCGTAACAACAGAAAAACAAATCGCAGGGTGCATTGAAAGGCAAACACAGACACATCCAAGATTGGCCCGGCAGGGAAGAGAAAACCAGATTAGATAAGAGCAGGCCAAAATGAACAGAAAGAGTATAATCACATCCTTAGGACTTCCTTTATGATAACGGCCTACACAGCAACAGAGGTTGTGGGATTGCCTTGCTCAAAGCCATTACACATCAGCCTACACTCCTGCAAAAGGGAGCTAACTTAGCAGTGAGAATTTGCTGGACACAAAGTCGGCTGACCGATTATGTCTGGCTTCGTTGACAACAAATCTTTGACGGCTCGAATTCGGATTCCACATAGGTGTTGATAACATAATAAGGTTATATATGGCTTCCTAGCCAAGACCCTAGTCCAGTCCTGCAGGAGGGTTTATCCTAGGGTCAATATCCATAGTATAAATTGCACTAGCTTTTGAAGCGACGTTCCTTCAAGTGAAGAGAGACATCTGTTTGTCATCGTTCATACTTTCCCACCCCCTGATATTTTGCACTTCGAATGCTTTGTTTTGTGATTGGACACCAGAGGATAAACATGGGTCTTTTTCAAAAAGAAAGGTGGGGTAAAAATATTTTAAATTAAAAAAATAAATATTTTCCAAGTCTGATTCCTGAGGCATGCGTGTCTGAAGAAATCTTATGTTGGAAGGAAAAAACAGTTGCATAACTCCAGGGAACACAATTTTTCCCTAACATATACAGTGGCTCTTAGTCTAAGGCAGCGGTTCCCAAGCTTGGGTCCCCAGATGTTCTTGGACTACAGCTCCCAGAAACCTTCACCATCACCTCTGCTGGCCAGGATTTCTGGGAATTGAAGTCCAAGAACATCTGGAGGCCCACGGTTGAGGACCAGTCTAAGGGATAAGAGGGACTCCTTACTGAGCAGTGAAAAATATGAGATATTAAGTAGAATGGCCATAAGTTCAACTTTACAGAGGGCAGTCCTCATCTGAGCACATATTTTATTTGAAGGACTGTTTAAGCCAAGTCGGAATCAGAGATGGGAAAACTTATTTTTCTGGACTGGAGGTCATGATCAGTGGCCATATTGGCTGGGATAAAAAAGTAATTTTTATTTGATTTGGATGAAATGGAAAAGGGGAGCAGCAGGAGCTTTGAAGGCATCCGTTCTTCACATCATACACAAGTTAACAGATCACACCCTCTTCCATTATGGTGATGGAATTGCATTTCGAAATAATGGCTAAAATCCTGTTTGCATGGCTGATGACATGGGTGATTATTCTGGAAATTAAACAAAAAATCTGTTTCTCAAACCCCCCCCAAAGATCCCAAAGCTTTGGGGTCCTTTTGAGGGGTGAGCACCAGACTAGGAGAAGTTTTGAATTTCTGAAAATCACGGCCACTGATAAAGTTATCCTGGGATGATAGTAGTAATTTTCAGAAATTAAAGTCCCACAGCACCCCAACACCTTCCTCACAACCAAAGAGCCTTGGGACCTAGTGGGCAACAGCCAGAAAACTTTATTTCCAAAGAAATTGCAGACATCATTAGCCTTTTATTTGGCCTGGATTAAATGAAAAGAAAGAAGAGAAAGAGGTGTTGTCAATTCAAAAGTGTTCTCTCTCTCTCTCTCTCTCTCTCTCTCTGTGTGTGTGTGTGTGCATGCGGGCATGCATGCATGCGTCTGTGTGTGTTTGTGTGTGTGTGTGTGTGTGTGTGTGTGACAGAGAGAGAGAGAGAGAGAGAGAGAGAGAGAGAGAGAGAGAGAGAGAGAGAGAGAGAGAGAGAGAGAGAGAGAGAGAGAGAGAGAAAACAGGATTCTAGCTATCATTTTGAAAACTACTTCCGTTCATAGAGATTAGCATATGTAAAATTATATGTGCATATAATACGTATTTTTGGGGGGGGCATCCTTGAGGGTGCAATTTGATAGAGAAAAACCTGAATTTGAATAAATTACTTTGGGTTTTTTTTTCAGTACAACTCCTTATCCATGCTGCTTGAGAGAATTTGGGAGTTCTCGTCCAAAAAAAAAGGTAATTTTTCCCAAATTCCACATTAGACCAGTTCTCCTCAACTTGCTACCTTCTAGATGCATTGGACAACAACCTCCACAATCCACAGACAACATGGAAGTAAATAATGGGACATGTAGTCCGACACATCTGAAGAGTGCTGGATCCAGGAAGACTAAAGCAGAAATGCTGAACTGTAGAAACCAAGAGTCTAATTCAACCAAAGACAGCTTTCTATATGCAGTAGCCGTCCTGTCTGGTCCAAGAAGAACATTTATTTGGATTTTTAGTGTTCTTTTTTTAAAGTTAAGGCTTGCTTAAAGTTGCCACCTGCTTTTTTTTTTCCCTGGCTGGTCTCTTACGCTTTTAACAGCTGAAGCTTTCTCCACAGCTATGCTGCTTAAAGTTGCCACCTGCTTTTTTTTTTTTCCT